GATGTTCGATCAAACCATCGACGCAGGTCTTTAAGCCAGGAGTTCTGTCTTCTTCCGACTGACCTCTTTCCTTCTGATTTTCCCTCAATTATAAGACGTAGCATTTCGTATTTATCTCCTCATGATATGCCCATATATTGGTTTTCTTTCCTTGATAGTTGTAAGGAGTTCTTTGCCCTTCTGCATGGCTCTGAGTACTTCAGTGTTGGTTTCTATCCACCCCAGGATATTCGTAGTATTCTCCTGTACAAATACATCCCAAGAGCCTCGATGCGGGCTTCTATGAGTGGACTGAGAGTCCAGCTCTCACAGCCATAGGAGAGGTGGGAATATATAACATCGAAGCATTCGCAGTCAGGTTGTAGGTCGAGGTCCCGCCTGATGAAAAGGTTCCTCATACTGAAAAAAAAGCACTCCTAGCTTGTTCAATCCCGTGACAGGATCTCCTTTTCCGGATCACACCCTTCATTTACAAATGCACCCAGATATCTGGATGAAGGTTATTGTTTATTTGAACTTGTTGGTGTTTTTAGGTAAATCATGTTCATTGACGACACTGTCCAATAATTGTTGGAGTTCAGGTTTTCTATTATCAATTGTACTAAAATGTTAATATAATAAATATAACAGTAATATCATGTAATTAAACTATAAATTACTTACAGATTATTTTTTCTTGTTTTAATTTCTTATAAATCGCATTCCATCAATAGATCTATTGCACCACCACCACTGCTGAAATTGAATTATCTTTCCCTTTTCCATAAAGGTAAATTTAAATAGCCTATACCATAATAGGACTAGTGGGAGTTGAACACAAAATATATTTTAGTTGAATTTTATTGTTTTTATTTTCATTTTGACGATCTTTTGACAACTGAACAATAACCTCACTTTTTAATCTAACGATGGGATGGGGTTTCATTTTTAATTTAGAAAAATATACTAAGAAGTCAAATAATTTGGCAACACAAATTCGGCCCATTAAAATAAAATATATTAACCTCTTTAAAATACATCAAAGTTTTAAGGTGCCCATTTTTCGTGCCGGTGAATGTATTTCAAAAACTATACATTTTAGTCATATACTTTTCTAATGAAACAAACCTTTATTTTTTTACTAGAATCCAAAAATCAATTAATATATAGGGTGTTCCATTACAAAAAACATAACTTTGATGTGTAACTTTTTTTGGGGACACCCTGTAGAACTCTACATAATTTTAGAAAATACTTTAAATTGACTTACATAAGCTCAGAAAATTTCACTTCAATACAAACTTTTGTTCTTACAAAAACCGCGTCGTATATGACGCGCCACCCTGTATAATTCGATTTCAATCAAAATTTCAATGATTAGAATATAAGCAGAATAGGTATAGCTTATGTATTAGATTTATTTATTTCAATAAATTTACTTAGAAAAAGAATTAAAAAAATCAAAATATTAAGAAGGAAATAATTCAGAATTTACTAAAATTACTAAAATAAAAAATTAAAAGCAACGAAAAAAAAAGGGTAAACATTTTAGTATTTTATCTATAAAACACAATACAGAAGGTTTCATATTAATACATTCACAGTAATTGAATTCCGAGGTAAAAGTCTCTGGGCACTCCACTAATATAATGAAACAAACAAATAAATAACAAAAACCATACAATATCCAAAATTAATAAAAAAATATACTTTTGTTCCTTTAGTAGTCCTGTAGACATCTTTCTATATTAAATAAATCAGCACTCGGTACACTAATAGGTTTATTTGTTAACTTATCCACCGCCTATTGACTTGAAGGTATGTCTCATTGCAGATTTAAACCCCATTTACAAAATATAGAGGAATGTTCAGCGCCAGGTGTTTGACAGAACACTCTGTGGCAGTTAAGGGTTAAACTCCTGCTTTTTGTTCCTGAGAATAGGTAGATTATCGAAAGATCTTCAGGACGTACTTTTATTATTACAAGATAGTGTTTTTGATTAAAAGATACACCATCTGTTGACAATTTAATTTTCATTGATACTTATTGAGAGTCATCATGTGTATTTAATGTAATTTTAATAGTTATTATCCTATTTCATTTTATTAACTAAAAGCTATGTTAGGGTGTAAAAATAAAAATATTTGTTATTTTTTGACAGTAATTATCCGAGATTATAGACACTTTATAATTCCCGGGTAATTACTTTGAATTTAGTATATTTTGTCCCATTCTGACCAATAAGTAGAGCTAGCCCAGTGTTGCCAGAAATTTTCGTGAATTTCCCTTCAAGGGAGCCTTAAAAAACCTTCATATTCCTTCAACTTCGCGAAAAATTCCAGATCTTGTGAAAAATCACCAAATTTCCTGTATTTTACCTATTTTATAATTAGGAGAAAAAATTTAAAAACTTATTTCTGGTAATTTTTGGACACCTATGTGTTTGAATAAACTTTTTATTAAAAAAAGATCGAAAAATCAAAAATAGTGTGATAGATACACGATAGCAGTATTATAAAGTATGTTTCAAAAAATTCATTGCTTACAGTGTCTGCTTGAACCGAAAATAATTAATCGTGTAAGCACAGTTAGCCTAGGCCAAGATGTCAAGAAAAAAAATATATAAACTTTGAGTACTTTATTTTTTAAATGCCGATACCACTGGTTTCAAAAAAAATTAAAAATTAAAATCGCCGACGTACAATTGGGGTCTCTACACAAATTTAAAAAAAAACTTTTTCAACCAAAGTAAAAAGCGCGCAGAAAGTTTTGTTAATAATAAATAACGACCATCAGCACCAATAGGTATGCTTACTGTTGCCCCCCTCCCTGTTTCTAAATCCAGGAGGTTGGGTCTCTGCACAAATTTAAATAACAATTGACTCTAATCTAATTGAAAAAGCAAAAAAATATTTTTCTTCTAATATTTTAGTGATAAAAGTTTACTTTATGATCGTAAGTATTAGTAAACAAGTAAAACTACAAACTAACAATTAAGGAAGTACAATTAATAACTTTAACACACACTGAATTTAGACTAAAACGGAATAAAACAATTAGGTACTATAGCTATAAGTAAATAAATACATTTTAAACATGGTTACTGTTGTAGGAAGCAACAGTCCTAAGGATATTTTTTTGACCAATTTGCCTGCCTGGCCAGGTGAAAATACCATTTGTTTAAAAAACGTTAACTTACTGATGATTTCCATTTAAAACTGGGCATAGATAGTATATAGAGGCGAATCTTTAAAAATTTGTCTGTCTTTATGTTGTTACGAAAATCCCGAAATAAAACAAGAATGACATAAAAGTACCGGAATAAACAAACTTATTGTAATAGGATTGGCTTCCAAAATAATAGAAACCTACAAAAATATCAGAGCAATGTTTGAGATTTTGCAAGTCCGTACTATTTGTGGAGTCAGTTCTTACACATTTGCCGCAGATCTAAAGTTGATAATGATTATATTGGGCCTTCAATCTTCAACATCATGCCATCCATGTGCCTGGTGTGATGTTAACTCAAAAAATTTACAGTCAAGGGGAGAACTACCTTTGTTAGTATTTCACAGAAAGCATTGGGCTTTACTCTACAGGCAAGCACCTCAGAGCAGGTGCATCATTCTTTTAAGTTGTTCTCAAAAAACTTTAATTTAAATCCGAGATCAAAAAACTATCAAAAAAATCTCCTTAGGAGTGTTGCTTCCTACAACAGTAACCACGTTTAAAATTTATTTATTTACTTATAGCTAGTACCTAATGGTTTTCTTTCTTTTTAGTCCAAATTCAGTGTGTGTTAAAGTTATTAATTGTACTTCCTTAAATGTTAGTCTGTAGTTTTACTTGTTTACTAATACCCTTATACTTATGATCATAAAGTAAAATTTTACCACTAAAATATTAGAAAAAAAAATATTTCCTTGCTTTTTGCATTGGATTAAAGTCTATTTGTATTTAAATTTGTGCAGAAACCCAACCTCCTGGACTTAGAAACAGGGAGGGGGGCAACAGTAAGCATACCTTTTGGTGATGATGGTCGTTATGTATTATTAACAAAACTTTCTGCGCGCTTTTTACTTTGGTTGAAAAAGTTTTTTTTAAATTTGTGTAGAGACCCCAATTGTACGTCGGCGATTTTAATTTTTATATTTTTTTGAAGCCAGTGGTATCGGCATTTAAAAAATAAAGTACCCAAAGTTTATATTTTTTTTTTCTTGACATCTTGGCCTAGGCTAACTGTGCTTACACGATTAATTATTTTCGGTTCAAGCAGACACTGTAAGCAATGAATTTTTTGAAACATACTTTATAATACTGCTATCGTGTATCTATCACACTATTTTTGGACATAGGTGTCCAAAAATTACCAGAAATAAGTTTTTAAATTTTTTCTCCTAATTATAAAATAGGTAAAATACAGGAAATTTGGTGATTTTTTACAAGATCTGGAATTTTTCGCGAAGTTGAAGGAATATGAAGGTTTTGTGAGGACTGTGTAAGATACCATGATCAGCTGACTTATTAGATGTGTTTTCCGTTTACCTATTTATTTCCTTTCAACATCAAGAACTTCGGTTTAGTTCCGGTATGTTTGTAATAAGACGTGTTGAAAGATAAAAATGCATCTATTATTTTTTTTGTTAAATGTTAAAATCTTTCGAATTGCAGACTTTTTGACAGCAACATTGCTTTAAACTGAGGCATCCTTAATTAAACACCGTTAAAGTGAAACAAATAGATGTAGAAAAAACAATTAATACTCCTACTACATAACAACACATTGACACACAATTTTTATTGTTCAAAACTGCCAGAAACTTTCATATTGTCTTCTTTTTTTTTGGATAAAAATCCTTCAGCTTTTCAATCGACCAAATTTGACTGTAAAATCCTTCATATTTGAGAAAATCTTTCAATTCTGGCAACACTGAGTAGGTTTGTTTTGTAGTTAAAAGTAGGTTAATAACAAATTAAGTAATAAACCACATTTTTTATGATTATTTTTCTTTTTTTTCAGACTGGATGAGTCCGTTCGATCGGGTCGTCTGTGGTGAGTACAATGGTACATATTTTTTTTTATTTATTTTATTTTTATTGCTTTTCCTATCACTTTAATTGCGCATTTGTTTGTTGATGATTGAACCTTTTTAAGACAGTTATCAGCGAATACTTTAGAGTTTTTTATTATTTATTATTAACAGTTTAATGGCGTTACGATATAGCAACATAAAATTAATTATCGACATAAAATGTATTTTATTATAGTTAAAATATTATTAAGAAATTTATTATTCCGATAATATATTCAGGAATATGATGATTTAATTGATTAAAAATTGTTGGATATGCAGATAATGCATCGAAATGAATAATAATGATTAATATTAAGTGTTTTCGAGATTCTGCATTGTTTATAATTTTATAGAAAAATTATGAGACACCATTAATTATAATTAATATTTTTATTTTTGAACTCAGTTTGAATAATATGTTTTTATTAATATTTGAGTAAAAATTATTTATTATGAAAAAAAAACGGCGTCAAAGACGGCTGGGGAATGACATTCGATGATAATTTTGGCGAGGTCAATCTCTAGACATCATTTATATTTTGTCCTGTACTCTTCTTGTTGACATGTTTGCCAAGTTTTCTGTCAATTAATTTTCAGTAAATGTCGTTTAAATATGGACCTCGTCAAAATCAACATGAATTGTCATTCTCTAGCTGTCTTTGACGCTGTTTTTTTTTCATCATGTGGTATTTTAAACATCTAGAATAAATCTAGTATATACTAAATAATATACGTCCAATTTTAAAAAAAATGATGAATTTATTTAAATTCTTATATTCTTGGCGATTTCTGTTTATTGTTTTCCCAGTTATTATATACAGGGTGGTCCGAATTGTATTAGGGAATCTTCTGTAGCATATTTTGCAGAGAAAAATAACTAAAAACGTTCGTATAAATGTATGTAATGCTTCGTTTCGGAGATACAGGGTGTAGAAATTTCATTTTTATTTCGATTTTTTCTAAATAATTTCTGAAGTAACGTCAATATTTGGATGAAAATTGGTGTCTGGGAGTTTTTTGACATTAGAAATTTGATTTTGATGTCAATATGACTCCTACTTATAGGGGGCGCCGCCTATGTGTGTTTTAACTGTTTTGGAGAGTAATAACGTTTCGTTCGTACCTGTATAAACTACCGATTAAACAAATATACATTTTCGTCATTTTTTACGTAAAAAATATCTCTTGGTAAAAAACGCTACAAGCAACCGTTCTCAACATATTTAAAATGGAAATAGTCAATATATGTCATTATTGACAAAAATAAATATGTTGAGTAGATAGTTATATGACTGAAATGTTAAAATTTGGGAGCTTTTTATTTTTTTTAAATTAATCATAATTTTTTTCAAGAAAAAAGTTCAGAGATTATTTGGAAAAAATTGAAATATAAATGAAACTTTTTGAAGCATTTTAGGACATACATTTATACGAACTTTCTTACTTATTTTCTGCTGAAGTTTTCCGAATACAATTCGGACCACCCTGTATATTATACTGGTTATTTTAGAAAAAAATAACAACCCAGCAAATTGGCATACATTCTGCATTGTAATTCAGCATCCCACTTCGCTTACTTGCTTCAACTATTACCAAGGTTTTTAAATAATTCTAAAATGCAAATTTACATTCTCCTAGCGGATACAGCAAAGGCGTTCGCTAATATAATCTAGATTCGAAATTAGAAACGTTTTCAATTAGGCAAATTAGGCTAACGTATACAGGGTGGTCTAAATGCAGAAACAATATTCCAGAACCATCATTAAACCAGTATATCTACTTAATAAGCTTAAGCTAGCTAACATAACAGTTGCTAGATGGTTGTTTTGTTTGTTGAAGATTATAAACGATATAGGTACTATATTAGTTAGATAGTTAGATAAATTATGTTCATTTAATGTCATAATTTCAAATTAATTGAGAATAGTTTATACCGGGTGTTGCATCGTCGAGCGGGACATAGGAAATCCCATGTAAATTTTAATGGGGTCAATTATTGGCTTCCCTAATTATTTTAGAGAATAATTCTATTTAGGTTTATTGAAGAACACTAAAACCCACATTCAAAACAATAACTTTAGATATTTTTGATTAGCCCGTTTACGAGTTATCGCCGATTTCTTTTAAATATTTCTCCTTTCTTATGGCCCTGTATTAACCAGTCAATTATGAGCACCAGTCAAGGTAAAAGATAACTGTCAAATGAAGTTGTCATTTCAGAAATTTATCTATTTAGTGCTTTATTATTATTATTAAAAACTCATACCTACATCGAAAATATTAGTCATGAATTACACTACCGAAGAGAAAGTATTGATGATTAAATGGTATTATCAAGGAAATAGTTATCAAAAGGTGTCGGACATGTATCCGAATAGACCGATACCTGGAAAATCTACAATCGCAAGGAATATCCAGAGATTTGAGACCAAAGGTACCCTAATAAATAACTGCAGATGTGAAGCAAGGCAGGAACAAAGAAAAGACGCAAGAAATGATACCGACTTGGAAGTTTTATTGTGCGTGGAAGAGAACGATGGAAAGATCAGCACAAGGAAACTTGAGGATGAAATAGGAATAGATCACACTACAGCGTTTCGAATTTTGAAACGACATAAATACTATTCCTTCAAAAATATGAAAAGCACCAAGAGCTAAGAGATGGGGACGAAATACGGCGGCAGGCGTTTTGTTTTGATATGATGGAAAGAGCAAACACAGGTAGGGAATTTTTAAAAAACATATGTTTCACTGACGAATGCACGTTTACCTTAAATAATGAACCCAATGTTCAAAATTATCGATATTGGAACAAAGAAAACCAACACAGGTTTGTCGAAACAAGGACGCAATATCCACAGAAAGTAAATGTTTGGGCAGGGATATTCGGACACTATATTATCGGGCCATTATTTCTTACGCGAAATTTAAATGCAGAATATTATTTGGAACTTCTCGAAAATCATATTTTACCTGCTTTACATGATGCCGCTAGGGAAAATTAGGAAGTTTGGTACCAAATGGATGGCTGCCCGGCACATAGTACCCTGGCTGTTCGGGAATATTTAGACAATAGTTTTAACGGAAACGTTATTGGCCTAAATCATACAGTAAATTGGCCAGCAAGGTCTGATATTTTGCCAAATTATTTCTTACTCTGGGGCCATTTAAAAAACAGGATATACAAGGATAAAAAATACCCAAATCTATATAGACGAGTTAAAAAATGCTATTTCTGCCGAATGCAATAGAATTTCAGTTTACCAACTAGCGAATGTAAGAAGAGAATTTTATGATCGCCTGGGTTATTGTCTAGCAGTCGATGGAGGAATATTTGAACATCTACTTGATATTAGGAAATTAGCAGGGATAAAGGTAGTATCAGATATAGCTACTTTTGTTGCGCGCAGCACATTAAAAAACTGCGGAACTTGATCTTCTGCAAGTGTGAGTACCTAGGCAACCTGCAACGTTGCGATCGCAGCTTGGTTGCGTAGGCTACTTTTTTGTTGCGCGCATTTAAGAAATAGCCGTGTGTGAACAGTTGTTGAGGAAGGTTGCAAGTGCAGCAAAAGATTACTAATCAGTTGAAACTTTTACTGCGGACATCGGTGCAGTATTCTGTTGGTAGGCCCGAAATGTATACACTTTTTTTCAGTTAACTCCAGTATTTATATGTAGGTATTTAATAAAGAATTAACCGACAAATTGCGATGTCGTCGAAGTCAAAACAAGCGATTTGGAACAGGAACAAGTAAAATGTTTAATAGAAGCAAGGTTTGTGGAGCGTAAAAAGTCCGCCAAAGTCACATATAAATATGTCTCGTCATCCATTTAAAAAAAAAACGCAACCTTCTCCCAAAAGGTACACACACGATACCTTGAGCTGTGGGTGGTGTACTGTTGAATGTTGCCCCTCCAAAACTGCGGCTACCAAAATATGTTGCAAAAGTAGCGCTTTTGTGTGAATATATGAAAAGCATGGAGTGACGACCTGCAACTTTTTTAGGCAGCTGCTGCATAAAAACTGCGCGTTTTGGGCTACTTTGTGCTGGCGCATGAACACTGTATGCAACTTTTGCAGCGGCTACAAAAAATTGCGCAACAAGAGTAGCTGTGTCTGATACTACCTTAACTTGGGTCTGCATGGCAAACAACAGGCAACAATGGACCCAACTACAAAGAGGGTATCTAAATATGCGAGGGAGGGCTACACCATAATTGAAAATAGTTGAATAAGTTGAAAATTATGATGATGATAAAAATTATTTACAAAAAACTCTTCGGAAAAAATAATTATTATCTGTAATATTTTAGAATGTATTGAACAATTAGCTGGCAACAATGAAATAAAGAAAAAAATATATAATTTATTAGCATAAACAACCATAAACTGCCCGAGCATTATGAGACTCGACTCAAAGGAAAATTAATGAAAAACAAACCGTAAGAAAAACAACTTTATTCCATTTTATTTTTAAACGACATTATGCCTACGGCAATTGCGGCTTCCAATTGATTTATCTGTCATTTGTTGTAATGAAAATATGAAAACCAACAGTAATGTCATAATTTGAACATTTTCCAAGTTTGAACTGTGCAGTAGTAACGCCTTTAGAAATTGATTCTGTGAATTTTGCGAGAAAAGGATTGTAAGAGTAAAAAATGCGACTTTCTCTTTTTATGGCGCTGCAAAATTTACAACCCTTTTTTTTTTAAAATAATTTTGCGAAAGTTTGGTTTCTCTTTTTTTGTGTTTGTCAGGTAAAAAAGGGTTCAGTTGAAATTGCAAGAGTTTCTAGATTTCTTTCTGTTTTTAGGGTTTTGTAGCTCAAAAGGATTTTGTTGTCGGTCTATTTTGTTTGTCAAGATACTTTATTTCGAGAACGCGTGGAGTTATTGGGTTGAAATTAATACCATATAATCCAATAAAATTGTCATTTGAAAAAAAAAATACGGGCAAGCTGATTTTTTCAGAGTTTGTCAGCGA